TTATCCCTGTGTTACAAGAGTATATGAAGACCTTATATAGTATTTATCATAGTCCCTTCAAGCCTCCCCTCCTGTTTGTACCCAAAGGAGAAAACAGAAGGCACTGTAACTATTTCCAAAAATCCTCAAATCTAACTCAGTTTCCATGATTCATTTAACATGATCATTCCTTTGAAGCTGTATTTTGAAAACTGAGATTCTATGTAAAAATTCAGTTTGTGACCCACACACACCGTTATAAGTTGGCCTGTCTCTCGCTAGCGAAATTTCTAGAGTAGATTTATGTTCCCAATTCTGCCCCAGTTTCCACATAAAGCATAGGATTTTACCTGGGGATCAGGGATGAGGCATGGGGAAGTCTCAGACAGATGGAATTAATCATGGTAATGAAACAAACCCCCAGGAACCCAAGTGAACAGAACTCACGTAGGCTAACAAACAAAATCAAACCTAACAAACCATTACTACTCAGTGAACTTAGATGGATAAATCTATTACGCTGTCTTAGCACGTGCCTTTCACAGTTTATCTGTACTCTTTCAGTGAGGGTTCCAAAGAAAAGATAAAGTCACTGAGTCCATAGGGCTTAGGACAAATGAATTGAACTGAAGACACAGAATGATTCTAAAGTAAATTCCTATAATTTACAGAGTAGATAATCTTATCTGCATAGCATACAGCATCTTTATGATGCCACACACAAAAAATATTATTTTTCAAAATTACCTCAGTAGATCAGAATTTGAAAAGGCTCTGATAAAAGGCTCCCCAAACTTCGGTGCATAAAACAGAATAATTTGAAGCATCTAAGATGAGAACAAGCATTCACTTCTTTAAACATTTTTCAAAGAGAAAGAAAATAATAAGTTTTATTTAAAGGCACTGTTTTTGTTAAATGTTATTGCATTTCAAAAAATACATATCACAGATATTCAGGAAATTTCTTAAATCAACTATTGGTATGAATTCTCTTTTCTAGTATTAGCAATGTTCCCTGAATTGCGTATGCATTTATTTGCTGGTGTCCAAATGCACCAGCATAATTATGAAGCGAAATGGGTCACACAGATTGGGGTCAGAATAATTTTAAAGGGGTGGCAGGAAGATGACCAAATGAATGTATTATATACCAACTTTCAAAAAATCTTAATGCATTTGCACACAAGCAAGCAATAAAATGATTCAGATGTCTGAGGACTAGCCTCTTGCATTAGAATTTTAGGGTCCTTTATATATTAATTATTCTGGCATAGATAGGTAACTGTAGTTTAATAGAGTATCTGTTTATCACAGAATTAATTGAATCATTTTAATCAGGCTGATATGCTCCTATATGTATCTACTAAAATTAAGTGGAATATGAGATTTGTGTGTGCTATGCCGAACAAGTGTCCCTTATAGAAATTCAGAGAATAAATCTGAAACATGCTTTGGGGAGCACATTTCACTTGCTCCAATATGTTCAGCAGCCTGTGCCAAATGAGTGTTATATTTCTGTCATTTTTGATCATTTAGCTGCCTTTAGACATGGGTGCTTTTTCTACAAATCAGGACATTTGCAGGACTTTTCAGAACCAGCTGGCTGACAGGAGTCACTCTATACTCCGCTCCTCCCCTAGGAAGTGTATTTATAACCCCTTCCCACCCACCCCATGGCCTTAGGATTTTTTTTTAATGTTGTGTTGGGACAAAGACTCATTACAACCTCCACCATATTCTGTAGGCCTCTCCTAAAGTTTTCTTACTGTGTTTTTATGCCCAGGTCTTCCTCGAATGTCTTGAAATGTCAAAGATCTGGAGCAGGTACTGAGGATAAAACTGTCAGAGTGCTTGAGGCAGGACATGCAGCTCTGGGATTCACAACCTTGGTCCTGTAGGTGCTTCTTTCCAAATATGGCACAAAAAATGTTTAGTCTAATCTTCTCTCAAATAGCTGCGACCTCTGAAAAGCTAGGCTGGGTTTTAATACAGTGTGGGGACAGGGATCAGCACGATAGCTGTCAGGCCAGATCTGGCCCACCATCTGCTTTCCATAGCCTGGAAGCTAGAATCGTTTTACATTTTTTAAATGCTCAGGAAAAAAAAATCAAAGAAGAGTAATATTGTGTGACATGTGAAAACGATATGGCCTTCACATTTTAGTGTCTCTAAATAAAGTTTTATTGGAACACAGCCTTGCTCTTCACTTATGTAGTGCCCATGGCTGCTTTCACACTACCATGGCAGAGTTGAGTTGCTGTAGAGACCACATGAGGCCCCTTATTTCTCACCCCTTGCTATAGAATGAAGTACAACTGAGGTTACAAGGATCACAAGAAATCTGAAAGTCACTCCCATAGGACTCTAGTCCATTGTTGTTAAACAATAAATATGAAATATAAACTCTCAGTAAAGTGACAAATCTGTGCTGCTTTTATTGTCATACTTGTGGGCATTATTTTTCTTTTTGAAATGGCGATGGAGAGGAACAAATGTAGGTCCCATGGTCATTATTCTCATAAATTACATGGAAAGAGATTGTTGCACAGCCCACCCAGAGTCCACCCACACCTGCTCTCTCAGTGGGCCTCTTTCTCAGCTATTCCTCCAGTTCGTACATGCTACCTAAATTGGTTGGGGTGTGTCAGTTTNCCTGCTCTCTCAGTGGGCCTCTTTCTCAGCTATTCCTCCAGTTCGTACATGCTACCTAAATTGGTTGGGTTGGGGTGTGTCAGTTCATTTCTAGACCTGGTGATATAACAGCTTTTCCCACAAACATGTCCACATGACCAGGAAGAAGTGACAATATTCAAAACAATGTTCTTAAGTAAGAGAGACTAGAATCCCTTCAACTACCCAAGTGAGGTTGCTTTGCCATATATATTAGTGTAAAAATGAATCATAATAGTTGATTCTAGGGCCATTGGGGTAGGGATCGAGGGGTGGCAGTAGAGAAGGAAAGAAGGAAAGATAAAAAGAAACTAGAGAATATTTCTAAGCTGCCCTTCTCCCTTCCTCAGTTAAAGATTCAGATATAGTGGAAAGTATATATAGTACCCTGAGATTTCTGCTATTTGGCAATCAAGCAGCCCCTTAAGATCTTTGAATAAAACAGCATTTGATTTACTCAAAAGTACTGTGTGTTGCTTGTGAATGGTAATGTGCCCTTAAAAGCTTGTCTTCTCTTCACTATGTGAGTCTACTTACTTTGTGATTATATGCTGAGTGTAGTGATAAAAAGTAGTGCCATCCTCAATATCGGCAATTCTTGGTTGACTCAATTCTTTTCAAGTCATCAGAATTTTACCAGAGGTGACATTTCTATCCCTGCTGTAAAATGTACCTATGAAAAACCATGACCTTTAATACTTTGTGTTGCCTTAGTCTTCACTATAGCAGTGTTATTATCCAAAAGGTTACCATTTGTTTTCACTGAAGATCCCATATCATCTGATAAAAAAAGTTCATGCCAATGAATTACTCAGTCGATGGATATTGAATAAAAGCCTGTCACAGTATTATGATAAGTGCTATTGCAGAATCAGAAGATTATTAGCTATGATCCTTCCCCTTAAGTTGTCTGTAATCACACTGGAAAAGCCAAGCTCATGTACATGAAATATATAAGCATTTTACTCACATGAAAATTTAAGCACAAGCAGACAAAGAGTGCAGAGAAGAAATAAATTGCTGAGCAAAGAGGAGATGAAAATTGAACCAGGTTATAAGAGTGTAGGATCTTGATAAACAGAGGTAAAGAGAGAAAGTGGGCATTCCTAGTCAATGAAAGCAAGAAGCCAAGTATTACCTAAGTCAGATTAATGGCCGAAAGGACAACAGAATGCTGAGTAAAAATACATACATATTGTCTGAGCTAGGTTGAGGGGAGACACTGAAAGCGAGTAGAGTAGATACCTGATAACTGAAGAAATAGAATGCAGGTTATATTAGAGTTTGGAGGCATAAAGAGCTATGAGGCTTTTGTTGTGATCCAAGTCATAAAATGATAGAGCATAAATTAAATATAAGTACTATGAATGGAGAAAGGTGAAGCTGATGAGTATGTCAGAAAGAAAGAAACAACAAAGAGAAGACTCAAAAGTAAATGTCCTCGTGTAAGCAATTGAAATGATTGCTGTAATTACTGGCATACTTGTTATAGTCAGAATGGGAGCCAGTTTGGAGGCATGGAGATGATGATAGATAGGTGACAGATAGATGATGATGACAGATGATGATGATAGATGATGATAGATAGATGATAGATGATAGATAGATAGATAGATGATAGATAGATAGATGATAGATAGATAGATAGATAGATAGATAATAGATAGATAGATAGATAGATAGATAGATAGATAGATAGATAGATAGATAGATAGATAGATGATAGATAGATACATAGATAGATACATAGATATAGACATATAAATTTCTGATGTGTTAAGTTTGAGGATGAGGAGAGATCTAATTGGGGAAATTCCAAGGCCACTTAGACATCTGTAAGTGGCTCACAACCTGTAAGACTGGAGGTGCAGCCCTACACACTGTCCACTTAGAGTGATAACTAATCCACTTAGTATATGAGCTTACTGAGCAGGCAAGAAGAAGACATTGAAGATAAAAACTTGATAGCCGGTCTGGTTACCAAGGGAGTGATAGAGAGGGGTCAGGTGTTTTGAAAATATAGGAATGAGTGACATCATCACATAAGCTAATGAAACAGAGATTTTCAAGTGGGTTCATCAGGGAGCAACACACACAGAGAACTCAAGGAAGATGAGGACCGAGAGGGGACTGGGTTACAAGGTCGCTGGGGACATTCCAAAGTGATTTCAGCTGAGTGCTGGGATAGACTAGACTCCCCCAGACCTGCCTCAAGGACTTTGTACTTCTGTTATAACAATACCTGTTACTACGATTCATTTTTAATTTTCTTGGAGTGGATTTTATTTGTTTCTTTATCTCTGTTTTCATTCCTATTCTGTTATTCTTTTTATTTAACTCTCTCTGTGTAGGAACTTATCTTACTTTGCTACACAAAGTAGCCCATCTGCTGTCATTTTGAACCTGTGGGAAGCGCGTCATCAGCACGATGGTGACCTTGACTCCCTGGCCTGTGCCCTTGAAGAGATTGGGAGGACACACACGAAACTCTCAAACATTACGGAATCCCAGCTTGATGAAGCCGACTTCAGCTACAGCAGGCAGAACGGACTCTAGTCCACTTCCTCTCGAGAGACAGAGGGATGGCCAGCTTCGGGACACTTGCTTTAAATGGGAGGAAGAGGCAGCTTTCTGCCCACTGGCATTTGGGGAATTCAGCCTTCACTTATAACCAGTGAGAATCCCTGGTTGAAGAAACTGAATTTAATCTAGGTAAACTCTGTTAATAGGGAAAATTATAAGCTCTCTTAAAAAAAGAGGGCTCTCCTGTCTCCTCTGAATCCACAAGTGGGTTAATACTCGATGAACTTCTCAGATTTAAGGTGGCAAGGATAAAAGTGAGGAGGTAACTAGGTTGAAGTAACTCGTAAAAGATGAGTTGCAATAAAGCTGGGGAGGCAGAGAACGACTAGCGCACGTTTTGAAACAGGTTTTTAGTGATGTGTCCCAAAGGGCCAGCTGATTCTGGTACCAGATTGTCAAGAGATTTCTACCAACTGGCATCTGTGATGTCGGCAAGCATTGTACAACTGGCTTTTAGAAGTGAAACAGGGTTACCAACCCGTTTGTGTGACTTGAGCAACGTCAAGGAGGGCATTTAGAATTTAGAACCTGAGTACATCACACCAGCACCAACCAATTCCTTATCTATCCTAGCCACTTAATGGAAACAAGATCCAGAGGTCAGATAGACTGGAAACGAGTTCTTGCCGTATACCCCACCTTCGTTTTCTTCAAGGACACATCTACCCACACTCCCCTTCCTTGCCCATGATAGTAGAGGAGAGGTTTCAAGCAGCATAGACTTTTCAATATGGAAACTTGTTTCTTCTAACTCAACAAAGCGGGACCATCTCTATTCCCAGCTAAGCCAGTCAAATTGCAGAGTGCTATTAGCACACAGCTTATTACATGGATTTGGAGACAAGAGAGGCCAAATTAGACCCAAGGACACATGAACTGCAGATGCCATAGGCCTCAAATAATTCTAGGATGTGGGTGGTTATCCACTTCCCCAACATTGTTGTTTTAAAGGAATGAGGGGGGTTTTACTGTACTTATGAATCCAGGTTCTTGAAATTTTCTATCCTTTTGGTACTATGTTATCACCAAATCTCTCCATAGGCTACAGGTCCCCCTCCTTTTGCCTCTTGGGAAATTAGCAGATAGTCTTTGCTCTAAATGATATCTGAGTAAATAGACCTCTACTGCAATGTCCTAGAAATCATGTGCATTGTTCAGGGAGCCTTCAAGCTCTGATAACTTGACCTCACCAAGTATGCTTTCTCTATAGCACCATTAACATGCTGCTTTATGTTTTAAATAAGAGGCAATGATACTGTGGAAAATTGAAATCCACAGATAATCATGACCCCCATCTGCACACTTTACTCCATCATTCATCCTATTTCATCATTTCTGACAAGATGTCAGGGTAGACTGCAGATGGAGAGCTCTGCTCCTGCTCATCTTCTGGTGGATGTTTTAATTAGCTGTCCACAATCAGGACAACCAAAGTCAAGGACCTAGATTAACCACAAGGCTGATCAGCTACTTAGAGGCTGGCTACATAAGAATAAAATAAAAATAGTCAGGAAATGGGGGAGGTGGGGAGTGCCTGGCATTGGGGATATGATCCATTTTTTTAAACAATGTTTTTGTAGATCCCATGTTTTAAAAAAAATGTTGTGAATCTCTGCCTAAGTGAAAAAGACCTAAAGATAGGATGAATTTATGATACCATGGGTAAGGCATTGAAGAACCCTTGGAGGTGTTGGCCATTTTCTCTAACTAATGTGTGGTATAGGGTATGGTCCCCTATATTTGATAGAAGCCTCTGCTACATAAAATTCAAAAGCATCTTGCTTTTCTCAGGAACCAAAGGCATATTATATAGAACAGACAAATCCTCTTAGAACTGTCAAGCATATTTTCAAAACGCCATATCTACATCACAAAAACATCCTTTTGCTAGTGTGCTCGACTTGTTTATTCCTTCTAGGGAACAGAGAGAAAGCAGGAAAGTGTACACCACTTGACATCCCTGGTAGGTTTCTGAAAGAGAAAGAAGTGGAAATAGATGGTCAGCCACCCAAAGTAAACTTGAGGTTCAGTGGCGTGGGTGGTATGCAGAAGGAAGCCGCATTAACTGTTGAATAATTCATAGAAAACACATTATGAAGATGATGTTAGTATCCCTCTTGGAGGATTTTTGTTTTAAACCATCCTACCCTTTTTCCTCTCCCTTCTAATCCGCCTTCTAATTGTTTCGTCTATTCTGTGAATCCACACAGATCCTTTTTAGATTTTCGATAAATGTTTTTTATTTTAAAAAAACAGATGAAAAGTTTTAATGTTTCTTAGTTTGTTTTAAGAGGTTATTATCAATCCCTGAATGTCTGGAATTTCTCCCTTGGATTTTTCTTTTTCTTCTATCTTTTCTTTTTTGGCTCTGGGTCTTATAAATACACTTCATCATCATATCATATTGAGTAAAAAAGGAAGCAATTTAACATGATTCTCCTCTGATTTCAGCCCAAGGGTCAAATCTGTATTTAAGCACATTTCACTCCCTCTTCACATTTCTCTTACTTAATTCTGCTAGGATCCCACATAGGACTTTCACAGAAGTGCGGGACATTCTGTGGCCGTGGCACATCAGGATTGTTTGAATCCTATTTTACAAGAGAATTCCGAAAAGAACCCAGGCTTGTGAGATTTACAAACCAAAGTGTGTGTGGGCTGTGGCAGGGGGGCATAGAATCGTGGAACAGATGGACTGAACTGACCAAGTGTGGTTACTCACTGTGACCCAAACCCTTGTGCTACTTTAATATTTGCAGGTCAACACAAATGCCCCTCTTGAAAGAGATTTAGTTGTCAGATCAAGCACTTGCTTTAGAAGCCTTCCTATCCTGATGCAAAATGAGCCACGAAATTAAAAGTGTTCTTTAATACTTGGTAGGCTACTTAACATTTCTACAAAATAGCCCACTTTATGCCAAGTCTTTCGGCCCTCAGAGGTATTTAAGTCTAATAATCATGCGTTAAACTTGACTTAAAATCATGCCACTTCATGCGTTAAACTTGACTTAAAATCATGCCACTACACTTCCCAGCTGCGCCAGACTGCAGCAACATAAAGTTAATTTACAATTTTTAGAGCATTGCTTGTGCAGTCTTCGCAGTTTACACTAAAACCCTTTAAGCCAAAAGGAAGCTCACTCTATGGATTTAAATGCAAACTTCACTTACCAATGCAGAAAGTCTCGTAAAATTCAGATGTACTGTCACAAAAACTTTATTGGCCTTTTTGTAAGACATGAATAGGGATTGACACAGTTCTCTTTTTTAGAGCAGGACTTTTCTCTCTTTTTTAGTCTTTTTATCTTCAACTGCAAGTGTTATCTTTTGCCATGGTCCCCCTTTTTTTTTTTTTCAGTTGACTTTGAGAGGGGACATTAAGTCAGATGACTAAAACTGGGTTCTTTTTGGATTAAAAGTTCTGGATTTATTGCAGCTATTTTCCCTAAGAGAAATTCTCAGCATCAGGATTGATAAGCAAAGGTAGACCATTATAATGGTACCATTGGTTTTGGGTGGTATCCCCCACTTGCCAAACTTCTGGCAAATGGACCTGTGAATTTCCAAGTGTCATAAAATCTTTTGATGTGCTTTTGTCTTTCCTTTTCGCCACTTTTCTCTTAAATTTCTTAGTCCCTCTGTGAAGGTGTTGACTACTATAGCTATCAGATGTGTTGAAGGTGACGTTCTCTCAGAAGTCTTTGTTCCAGATCTGTGAAGGCCACAGGAACCATGAAGGAGCTGAGACATGTGTTTCTCTGGCCCATTGTGTGGCGATTTTCATTCATTTTCCTCATGAAACATTGCAAAGTTCTGAATCCTTAGTCACTCCCATTGACTGGACCAGAGGTACCATTCATAGCAAATGGGATAACAACATGTTGTCTGACAGATAGTGACAAAATTTTATTAGCCCTTGGGTGTTAGTTGCCATAGCTCTGTATTTGAATATTGATGCTTTAGCCAAAAGCTGAATGACCTTCGTTTCCACAGTTTCCACTATTTTGTCTGCATAGAATTTTCCTGAACTACAAGCAAAAATGTATTTTGTCAAATGTCACAAAGTGAAAATGTTGCTAATCTTAGACGTGTTGCATATTTTGTGTTTTTACTTTCCAAACTCTTTCAAAAGCTGCAGTTATAAAGCTGTTTGGCTGTATCGACAGCATGTGGTGTTTTTTGCAAAAACAGTTCTAGGAGAGCCAGTGTCTACCATGGACTCTTCACATCCCCACTCCAGGGTCATCCACAAAAAATCAAAATGGCAATTTGTATGCTGTATTTTTTCAAAAGACAAAAGGGGATGGAAATCAGACCTGGCCATTAGTCACTAGTGTGTAGTGCTGTGATCTGAAGTAGGAAATTTAACTCACATAGAATAATTGTGGTTTTTGAAGCAGCTACTTTGCTTTTTCCTTTTGCTGTGAAGACCATGGATTTGGAATGTCCTCATGAGGTGGGCCTAAGACAGTAACATAAACTTCATGTCCTAGAGCCCACCCTTCATCTGAACCCAAAGATAAAGAAAGGCAGTAAGCTCCATGTTTAGCCCTAAGCTTAAAATTATCCCCCTCAGCCCTAATATTGAGTTTGGCAGGGGGTATATTTTTTTCCTCAAAAAAAGTTATAGCCTTGAATTATAAAATGTTATCACTAAATTTGATAACGTGATTCTTTGCATGAATGCAAATGTATGTTAAATACTCTTACAAAAGGCATGATTGTAATGAAAATGTCCTTTTCCCTCAAGCTTTGCTAACCCCAAAAAGTATTTCACTATTTCACACAATATCTGCATACAAATTCCAAAATTGAACTGATTATACAATTCTCTTGATATTTGATACAGTAGGTAGAGATTTAACTGTGGTTCTGTTGAATCATGAAAAAGAAAGATGATATTGATATTTGAGGGAGCTTGTAAGCAGAATATCATGCCTTAGGAGCCCATACTGAAATACAGACATTACAATCAGAAATAACTCGAATAACTAATATCTCCCCCCCACTTAGGGAGTTAGGGTGATGCTGAAGGGAGATCAGCCCTTACCAGGGGGCTTCAATCTGAGCCTCATCTCAATCTGAACTCTCTCCAAGGCCCATCCTAGGCTTTGTCAGCCACTCCCATTCAAAACTTCTCTGTAAGAAGGTGGGATAAACTCAGTCTGTGGGAACTTTCTGGTCAGGAAAGCAATTTTCTCCTTTTATAAATTAGAATAAAAACTGACTTAAAGTTTCCCAATCTTCTTAATTGATTCTAATTGGTACATGCAATCCAGTAAGTGTCCACCGAAACCCACTGCAAATATAAGCAATTAGAGGAAAATCGGCATATTTTTTTGACCCAAACTCAAAAAATATGAGTAATTATTTACCTCCATTTCTGTATGGAAGAATTTCAAAACAGATTTTATTTCGTTCTGTTACTTGGGGAAGGTGCATGGGCGGGAGGTGGGGGGTTCTTTCAAGTGATTCATAGCTCAACCCCATACCACTCTCAACTTTTATTTGATGTGTTCAGAGAAACAAAAAGAAACAAACCACAAAACTGAATACTTAATTTGACATGAGGCTGAAGGAATGAGCAAGCCAGAGGAGAGAGTTTGAATAAAGCATGGCCTTGGCTTCATACCACACTTTTTGTGCCTTGTATTATCAATGTAAATTCTGAATGTTGTACAGTAAATACTTGGATGGACTTCTTAGAAAAGGCTGCACTGGCTTCTTTTTCAGCACATGTACATATCTATAAATATATATACATATATATTTGGTAATGCCAAACAGCTGTGTTATATTGTATTGAACAAAATGGACGGTTTGGATGTTTTCTGTAGTTTGCAAAAAAAAAAAAACTGGATGGTTACAGACTTTTCAAGATAAATGTACAGACGTAAATTACTGCTTATCAGTTATTTATGAATAAAGAGTCTTTTATTGACATTTTAGGATGCTCCATGAGTGGAACTCTGAAATCCCAGTGAGGACCCCTCTCTACATACCTCCTGCCACATCCTGGCAGGCGCTGGAATGCCCTCTACTTCAGAGACATTTTCCAAACACCTGTTAACATATTGGACATAATTCCTCTTTCTGGCCTCAAGAAGGGGACACTATGAGACTATGGGAGCAAAAATGAGATTCCCACCTTGTTACATTCCCACCTCACCCCAAAACACGTATACACGACTCTCTTGGGACAATTTTATGTACTCTGAGATAATTCTAGCCAAACCATAACTAAGATAACCATTCATTTTATTCCTCAAAACGCTTGGGTTATTTTTACAGACTGCATAAACAACTTTCTGCCTCTCCATGGGCAAATGTTAAAATAAGTATAGTGTTGTATACTTCAGATACATCTTGACTGATTCAATCTGTCTGAAACGGTTTTTAAATGCTGGAAGCTCCCAAGAATTCAATGATAACTATGGAGAGCTGGCTAGAGCCAGTTTAAACAATATGATCTGCTCAAGGATGGATTCTGATCTATTCAATCTAGTGGTAATAAATTCAAAGGTTAAAAATTGCTTTAAACCAGTATTTTCCAAAATCTGTTTACTTAAAATACCGTTTCCATAGAAAAATAACAGGGTTTTTTTCTTTTCAAATCAAGCTTGGAAATCTATAGAAAATGAAACACCATTCTCTACTCTAAATTTCTGAAACCTTTTATTTGTATGATGAATCTACTGTATATGATGAATCTCTAAGGTGGCGGGGGAGTATATGCAACATTTCCCACACCTTTTTGACTATGTTAATTCTTTTTGTTGGATCATCATATGGAAGTAGTAAGAATGGGTATGAATATCCAAAGTGGCTGTGAGCGGTTCCAACTGTTACTTCTGACCACTTTAAGTTAAGCAGTACTTTAAAGCTGATTAAAACATATTTTAAAGTTACTGGTAAAATGAGAATTGGGTCTCATTAACCAAACTAGATAAATCACCATGACTAGGCATAACCAAGCCAAAAATTCAGAATAATTTGGTTAGAGCAACTATATTGAATTTGAGTTGGTCAGAATAGATTTTAACTAGAAAAATGCTGTGACTGACATAAAGATCCAGCTACATAACTAGTTCATCCAGATAAAAACTTCTCAGTTCAACCTGAACCTGTAACAAACAGTTCAAAATAATGTTTTTAAAGTTTTGTTAAAAAATATCCTATCTTGTTAGGAACTAATACTGAGTGGATTAAGCTACTTTGAGCTAATTTATGTTTGTTCTATATAACCAACATTTGTTAGAATTTGATCAAACTTATTCTGATAGGGGTTACTTATTTATTTAAAAATATATATTTACTTAGCATTTACTACATGGTAACAGTCTGGATCTAAAGCCTGACTACCATTTAACATTTGATATCAAGCAAAATCCTTGACATTTCTATGTCATCTATAATACAGGGATGATAAGAGAATTTTAGATTATTTAAAAAGTCTAAAGGTGAAGTAAAAAAAAAAGTGAAGCCCTTAGCACATTATGGTACTAGNGATAAGAGAATTTTAGATTATTTAAAAAGTCTAAAGGTGAAGTAAAAAAATAAAAGTGAAGCCCTTAGCACATTATGGTACTAGGCAAACAACTACCTCTCTAAAATAAGCTTTTGTCTTATTTTAGAGAGCTAGTATGCAAAGTAGTTAACAAAATGTATTGGATCAACATATGCTGGGGTAGTAATCCTGAGTCTGCCACTCTCTGGATACATGACTTTAGCCAAGAAACTCTTTATCTTTAAAAGGAGATAATCATATCGAGCTCACTGGGCACAAAATAAATGTTCAAGAAATAGTATACAGTCTTGTTCTGCCTAACCATGAAGACAGCACTGAGAAATGTGTCCCTGGGCAGTTTTGTTTTGTGAACATCACAGAGTGCACTTACACAAACCTGAATGGTACTAGCCTACTGCACACACAGGCCCTAAGGTATTGCCTACTGCTCCTGGGCTGCGAGCCTGAACAGCATGTACCTGTACAAAATAACACAAGACTAAATCAAGCACAAGCAGAAAAGATACAATTAAGAGATGTGGAAAATGATGTATGAGGCTACTGCAGGCCTAACAAGGCATACTGTTGTTTCACAGCAAACTTATTTTTTTATAAGAATACACTCTAAAATAACAACAAAAAGTATAGTTTAGTAAATACATAAGCCAGTAACTTAATCATTTATTACCAAGTATCATGTTGTACATAATTGGATGGCTGGCAGTGCAATAGGTTTGTTTACACCAGTGTCACCACAAACGCATGAGTAATGAATTGCGCTAAGACATTATGACAGCTATGACATCACTAAGCAATAGGAATTTTCAGCTCCATTAAAATCTTATGGAACCATTGAAGTAGTAGCCCATCATTGACCAAACATTATGTGTCATTTGACTGAAATGAATAAACACAGCTCTACTGTCTCTGGCTAGTTCTGGTTCTGGAGACATCCTAGAGTGTTCATTATACAAACATAGTAAAGTGTAAAGAGTACTAAAAATATACTCAACTTTAGTATCTTTCTGATACCTGAAATTTATTTAAGAGGAAAAAAAAGCACATCTTACTACCCTTGAAAGAAGTGAAATGAAATTTGTTTTCAAATATAAAGGTTAATGCTTAATGCAGTAAGCTTTAAAAAGTTACTCTAATATGGTCCCATATATTCATTTACATAGAATGATTTTAACAGAGAAAGAACTAGAGGCAGATGATGCTACAAATACATATTTAAAGAGTATCTGCCACTAGGACAAAAACATTTTTTCTTTCAGTGATCTTGCATAGAGTAGATAGTACATCAATAAGATGGCCCAATTTCTGCTTTTTAGAGATGACACAAGAGCCTTAAAAACATGAGTGTGCACAAATTAAACATTAAAGAAGTTACCTGGGCACTATCACCTACTATGGGCCAGACCCTCTGCTACAAGCCAGACATTAAAAAATAAAAGGCATGGACTCAACCTTCAAGATTATCAAAAAATGATCATACCTTCAAGAGATTATTATACCATCAACCAAGTGCTATGAAAGAGGTGAGCACACATTATTTAGAGAAAATTCAAAAGGAGACCAGCCAGGTGGCTCAGTTGGTTGGAGCGTCATCCCAAGCACCAAAAAGTTTGTGGATTCAATTTCGGGTCAGGACACATATCTAGGTTGTGGGTTTGATCACTGGCTGGGGCGTGTATAAGAAGGAGCATTGAAACCAGGTTGTGTTGTGTGAGGAAAATTACATGGACAAATTGCCATTGGGATAAGATTTAAAGGTGATGTATTTTAAATATATATATATACTATTTCTTTAATAACACTTTGTAACAAACCCTTTAATTTGTAGCTTAATATAACCATTTATTAACCTTAAAATTTTCTGGGTCAGCTGGGAGGTCCTCCAGATCTGAGCCTGGCTTGGGTGATCCCAGATGAGCTTACTCATGGATCTGCAGTCAGCCCAGAGGTTAGCTGGACAGGCTTCTCCAGACTAGGCTCCTCCCATGTCTGGGGTTTTGGCTGGGACAGCAGGACTGACTAAGCTCTGCTTCACATGTCTCATGATTCAATAGGTCAAGCTGGATATGTTCTCATGGTACAGGCAGAGGAAGAGAAGTGTGCAGAGACTCCTGAAGCCTAGTCTGGAAACACCATCATTTCTGTGATATTCTAGTGGCCAACATCACACACAAGATCATGCACAATGCATTCAGATGGTGTTTTATTGAGTTGTACACTTGAAACATGTATGGTTTTGAGAACCAATGTCACCCCAATAAATTGAGTAATAAAGTAAATAAACACACAAAAGATCAGCCAGGAAAATAGAACCTCTTGATGGGAATTGCTGCAAAATCACAGTACAAAGGCTATGGATCAAGGAAGGGGTAGAGAATGTGGATTATGGTTTCAATCCCCATCTGAAATGAGTAAGAATTTGCCAGATGAAAACAAAGGAGGGCCTGGCAGGTTGTAGCTTAGCAGTTTAACATCGACCTATGATCCAGGAGATCACAGTTCGGGGCACATGCCTGAGTCAGGGCACATGCCTGAGTTGTGGGCTCGATCCCCAGTAGCGGGTGTACAGGAGACAGCCGATCAATGACTCTCTCATCATTAATGTTTCTCTCTCTCTCCCTTCCTCTCTCTGAAATCAATAAAGACGTATTTTAAAAAAAACAAAAAAGCAAAACAAAAGAAGAGAATTCAAACAGGAAGATTTGCATTGATAAAGATATTAAAAGCATTTTATTTAGCAGAGGCTGCCATATTACTTTTAGTCCATCACATGTAGTCCATATAATCCACTGGATCTTCTACATAACACTTTCTAAACGTTTATGCTATGCTACTAGGTACTGACCCTATGGTTAGCCATGTTTGGAAAAAGTCAAGTAATCACATTTACAGAGATTTCTTTATTGTAAGACCTCTCAAAGGCTTGTACATAATAGTCAACACTTTTTGAACACAGTAGTCCTTCCTTATTCCCAAGGGCTATGTTCAAAGACCCCAGTGGATGCCTGAAACCATGGATCATACCAAACCTTGTAACCCGGTTTTTTCTTATACATACAGACATATGATAAAGTTTAATTGATAAATTAGGCACAGTAAGAGATGAACAACAATAATAATAATATAGAACAAGTATAACAATATACTATAATAGGAGTCATGTGAAGGTGGTGTTTTTGAGGAAAACGAGGCTTACTTGAACACAAGCACTGTGATTCCGAGTGTGGATCTGATAACTAAGAAGGGCACATCCAGACAGCGTGGAGAACCTGGACAAAGAGATGATTCACATCCTGGGGGGAAGAGAAAAATGCTGTCATTCTACTCAGAATGTCGTGTAATTTAAAACTTATGAATTGCTTCTTTAGAATTTTTCATTTAATATTTTCAGACCGAGGTTGACAGCAGTAACAAACTGAGG